GGGTGTAGGGATGCGAGTAATAACTGGTCATCTACGTTTCGTGTGCTTTTTTTTCGGTCTCCAGCTGGTTTCCGCTGTTTAACAACTCTCGCCGTCATTCAACCGTGCCCAGGCTGATGTTTTCTCTCTCGTTTCTTGGTTGGTTTTCAGCTGTGGTCACCGGTTCTTGGCCCAGATTTTCCTGTTGGAGTGCGGAGGTTTGTGACGGTTACTTATAATAATGGTCGTGTGCGAGGGTCACTCTCATCTCTCAGGTTTGGCGAAGTTACTTGAGGCGACTCCAGTTGGTCACAGTCGTTCTAATTGGGGTCTTCCATGGCGGTGCGTCTTGTACAGCGTTTGGGTTCCGCTGAAGTTGTCTCCGTGGCGTCGCAGTTGTGTGATACCGTTACGTTGCTTGGTGGAAGTACTGTTCGCGCGTGGACCGATTACATGAACGCGTCTAGTAGATTTATCGCATGTCTGACTTGTTCATGTGTTGATGTATCTTTCGATGCAGCTTGTTGCCCCCTTTGAGAAGGTTCAGACAGGGGTATGGCACCGATCCTCGTCGTGTGTCGCAAATCGATGCAGCTTGTGGCCCACTTTGAGCAGGTTCGGATGCAGATGCTCGTATTCTGGACTATGCAACCGGGAAGAAAGCGGTGGGGCGTGGAAGTTGTCGTGCATTTGATATCGCAATCGGCGTGCGGGGCAGTTGGTGTGACGATGTAATTCCATGGGTGTGGGGTCGGATCTTGTGGTTTCGGTCTCGGTCAGAATGGAGGCGTGAGGAAGAGGACTCCGGGGGAGAGAGCGTTCGAGTTCTGAGTTTTTTCCGTGTTTATGTGCTCGTGTTCTGCTGCAGTGTTAATCGAATCGCCGCTGGATGGTTTTTCAAATGATAACCGGAGCCCGTAGATGGGGAAGGCCGCTGCTGCTTATTCCTGGAGGGGGTTTTGTTCGCTTGGGAAGGGGTTCGATGATGATGGGGTGTGATCGACATAGTCGTCCGTGTTGCGGGACCATGTGGCTACGCAGCTCGAGAAAGAAGAGTGGCATGATTTTATTTTCTTTATATGTTCTGCAGGTTTTGACATGATTCTGTGACGTTCGTCGATTTCATTTATGAGTCGTCTGTTGTATAGTAGCCGCTGATCCGAAACGAGTGTGTTCGAGGATTCCAAGCGAAGTTTGGAACCGCGAAACCGGAGGATTTCTGCTTCTGTTCCGTTCCGTTGAGGTTTAAGCCGCATGTCGTTGGTCGTCTGCGAATACGTTGCTGAAACATTGTACATATAGATGAAAGCCTGGGTACGTTGTTGTCGGGTTGTATGGTCCCGTGGTGGGAATGGACGTAACACTTGGTGGCTTCTTTCGATATGTTGAACGTGTTTGGTCTTCCTTTTCAACGGTGTGGTCTGTTTGGAGGGTGACAGGAGGACGCCGGGGAATCTGTAGGAGAAAGGTCGTACAGACGTGGCGATGTGGATTACCGCCTCTCCTTCTACTCGTTGAAACGTTGGATTCGTGGCGGAGGGAGGCGTTTTTCTAGGGATCTCTTTGACTATGGTCGCGAGTTCATTGCCGCTCGCCTTGGATTGGTTTCTTGCTACTTGGATTGGTTTCTTGCTATGGTGCTCGGGTATTAAGGTCTTGACGGTTTCGTGAAGTCTCTTGCTGTGCTGCTCCGGTTGACGGTTTCGTGAAGTCTCTTTCTGTGCTGCTCCGGTTGTTGGTTTCGTGAAGTTTGCTCTTACAGTATGTGAAGGTCTGACGGTTTGCTCTTATGTGGAGGTTATGACAGTTTCGTGCATTATTTGTTCCCGCGATGGTCCTGTAGTCGTGAGTGCGCATCTGGCTTTTGGTGCTCTCCTTTGAAAAGGGAGAAAGGATCGTTCGTTGCTAGGTATTGACGATCATGTGAGGTGTAATGATCGCTCCCAGTGAAGACGGAGATGTAATGCGGGAGAGCGTTTGATGATACAGCTTCTGCGCGCTGACTTGAATTTTGTCGTGGTGTATCGTTAAATGGGTGTCCATAGCACAGCGATTTGTCTGTTGAGAGGTGACTTCGCTTGTCAGGTGGTCGTGGGGGAGGATAATTCATCTGGTGTGTTTTTTGAACTTCGTTACGTGGGAGAACCAGTTTATGGTTCTAGTGCTTCACGATCAGATTGAGGATCGAGCTTGAAGTCTTGATTCGTTCCATGGGAATGAGGTCGAAGTCGGAATCGCGTATGGTGAAGGTGAACGAGAGTACATTGAGAGCGGTAGTTTGTATGTGTCGTCCTTTCCGTCGTCGCGGCGGAGAATTTATAACCTCGCGGAGTAGTGGGTGTGTTCGGACCGTGGTTGTTTTGAACGAGAAGACTTGTCTCACCCTCGGTGTTGTCATGTGGGGGGAATGTGTAGTGCTGCAGCCTGTGAGTGAGATGGGACATGCAGCGAAAAGTATTAGTGATAACGTCTTGGAGATCACGCGGTTATTACATGTTGCGGCAAGTTTTGTGTCAGTGTGGGCTTGTTGTTTAGTTCTTGGAAGGCGTCCGTACTGTGCAGCGAAACACCATCTTGTGGGCGGCATATGAAAAGGTTACTGTTGTGTTTGGCCAAGCAAGCGGGTGGTTGTCATATGTAACTGTAGCCACGCACTGTGGGTGTCACACGTCGGTGAATTACCACATGGGTCGTCGGGATTCTCATCCGGATTGCATTTCGAGGTTACTGCTTGGGAGTGTTATGACTCGTGAGTTTCTCTGCGTAGTAAAAGCACTCGATGGGCGTGTGTTTCTCACGAATTGATCTGCCTGCGAGTTGAGTAAAGCAAATGCGGTGTTGAAAAATGTTCGGAGTGGATGTTGGCTGGTTGCTGTCTTGGGGGACGGTTTAATGGGTTGTTGTCGTGGTATATTGGACATGCTCGTGCTTTTTAGGAACATGTTCCTTGTCTCTGGGAATGTGGATCTGGCTTGAGCTCGAATGGTTGCTGTCGTGATTTCTGAATACGCATCGACGAAGAGAAGGGTGTATGTCGTCGTTGAATCATTTGTCTGTTGCCTGGACGTTTGTATTGTGTGTTATCGCGAAGCGTGCGTAAGTGATGGGGGCGAGAATTACACATTGGTTAGGAGAGGTTTAAGTTTGTGATATGCCTGAATGATGACGTGTCAACGGGACGCCGTTGATTCCGAGTTGATGTTCGATGCACGCAGCAATCCTGCGTGCGGGGTTCGGGTATCGGAAGTGTTGTTGGGCTATTGAATGCGTTTGGGAGTGCTTCATAAGTACCGAGAGGTTACGTCGTCGTTTCGCCGAGTGTCTTGGGTTTAAGACTGGCAAACGATCGTAGTAGTATTGGGAAATTTGTGGTTGTCTGGTGGATGATTCATTGTGACACTGAGCTCCTGTAAGCTGTGAAATTGGACGTGTAGTGGCCTTTATGCGTGTCATTGATTTACTGTGATTCTGAGCTCCTGTAAGCAGTGAAATTGGACGTTGACTGACCCTTGTTCGTGACATCGGTTCGCTTTGCTGGCAAATGTGATACTGAACTCCTGTAAGCTGTGAAATGGGATGTTGTGTCATCGGTTCGCTTCGCTGGCAAATGTGATACTGAACTCCTGTAAGCTGTGAAATGGGACGTTGACTGGCCCTTACGCGCGTTCTGAATCAATGGCGAGTCACAAGTCTGTGGTCGGTTGGGGTCCTGGGGTATCGAAATTGTGTGACATGTTTATCATCGTGGAAAGTTTGTGACAGCGAGTGCCTGTGCATCGTAATATGGTGAGGCGGGAGGTTGACTGGCCCCTATGCGTGTCTTCTTTTTGTACTGGGAGTCTGCCAGTTGGTCGGTCGTCTGGTGGATTGTTCGTTGTGACGCTGAGCACCTGTGCGCTGTGAAATCGTTGTCGACTGGTATTACTATTGAGCGGGAAGTGGTTTTTGTAATGCAGACTGCACGGCCCGTCGTCTGGTGCATGGTTCCTTATGAGACTGATGATGCACTTTGAAATGGGAGGATTGTTGGTAAGCCCTCGATACATGGCAGTGGACGAGGAGGCCTGTCCGCTGCCAAATGCGAGGTTGACGAGTGTACTTCGGTGTTGTTTACTTGATTGAATCTTACGGTCCTGGCATCGGATCTTGATAGTGTGCTGGACGATGTCGTGAAATTGTGGCCAATGGATTTGCTGTGCTCTCCAGTGTCTCTATTCAACAGTGGACTCCTGTTGTATAATAGTATGCTGACTAAATTGTCGTTATTCTATGACTAGAGGTGGGCTGTGGGATCGGATGGAGGGTTATTGGATGACTAGAGGAGGTTTGTGGTCTCGGATGGGTTTCGTTCCCCCGCACGGGTAAGTTCCCTTTTATCATGGACATGGTTGTACGAAATCCATTTCTCCCCCGCGTCCAGGTTTCTCAACGTTCCTGTCAAGTGCCGTTTCTCACTCCTGTGCCACCGGATGTTGCACCAAGATGTCTCTTTTGGGCGTATTCGAGGTCGCTATCACTGTTGGTTCGATGCCAGATACATCGAAGAAACCCGGTCTTGCAGAAGACGAAGTGTACATGCGATTTTTGACTGGATGCGCCCGGCATTGGTGTGGGGTATCTCGAAGTAATTGTGGCTTACCCTGATGGAAATCCCAAATCCCAGTGTTTGACATCCGGCTTCCTCCGTACGAAATCGTGTCCACGAGCTGAATGAACGATGATGCAAAATCTTGTATTTTTTTGCCATCTTCTAGTGTGCGAGACGTGGATTGTGAGAAACTATTGCTGGCACGATCAAGTTATGCCGTCCACTTTGTGCCTAACTGAGTAGACGGTAGCGCCCCTCCGGCTCAGAATGTTACTTCCGTTCTGTGACTGTGCGGTGGATATGAACGCTGGAAGTTTCCCGAGCTTGCCTCGGATGCCTGTTGAAAAAAGGCCGCCAAAAGGCCGCCAAGAACTGTAGCTTCGCGTTCTCAGTGCCAATACCGTAAGGAAGGAGCGACCGGATGCCGCTGTCGAGATAATTTAGAACTGAAAACTGTGATTGGTTCTCATGCTTGGTCTGGACTTGACTACCACGTGCTAGTTACCCTGGTGTATTTTAACCTGTTACAATCTGGAGCACGAAAAGTCGACCGCGACGGTAAGATGCCCGGAACTGTTTTCGTTTTTATGCGTCGGGGAATCGACTGTATCTGCTTAAGCACCCTTGGTGTCTCACCTGCCCCGTGCTTATGTGCAGGGGAAGTTACCTTAACTGCGAGTTGCCTCATGGCACGGGGACTGGAATTTGACGGACGGTGTCTTTTCGTGCATTAAGGGAGGGGCGGGGTTGATGCCGTGTTGTGATTTCTGTACATGCTTACGCTGCTGGTGGTGTTAACGAAGTGAAGTCCGCGTTAAAAAAAATTAGTCGCACAAAATGAAAGTTCCGAGTCGTACATCACGACTAATGGCTGTAGCTGGTTTGTGAAGTAGCTGGCTGAACAACCAATGTGGCGTGAGAAAAAAAGCTTGGACGATGACAACGGACGGATTCGTTAGCAGGAACTGAGTTTTGGAAGAACAAGACGCATTTGAGAGAGGACAGGCGTTTGGTTGCCCGGCAGCATGCTATTTTCTTGTCTCACACGAGTTGGGCGCCTTTATTTATACCTTGTGCCCTACTTGACCCTGTGTGATTGGGAAGACGCGAGTGCTATATGGGCGCACCTGGGTTGTCTCTGGGAGGCATTGAGAATTGAATCTTCTGCACATTTTGATGGGACGGGAAAGAATTTGCTTGGTTGGAACAGTTGCCACTCACGGTTGGGAGCCAATGCAATTTGTGACTTCCCCTCGTCGTTCATCCATTGCAAAGAGTTCAGGGTGCGAGACACTACGGTAGTACAGAGAGCGAATGATGCCACGCGTACCGTCTTTGTCGGGGGGCATCATATCATGCACAGGGAGAAGTACTTTGGGAGAGGAGGACGGTGGGTGTTGCTGATTACGTTGTGTTGTTTGATCAAGCCACTTGAGAAGCAGGTCGTAGTAGTGCGCCTGGTAAGAGTATGTTTGGAGCAACTTGTGACCTCACAAAATGTTCGAACGTAAAATATTTGTTGCAGAATGAACTTGAACCGGGAAGAGACTGTACGTGGGCGGCTTCGCTTCACCTGTGTGTGGAGGAGAGGCGTGGAGATGGTGCGCGAGAGGAAACGGGGGCGCACAGCGAGGGCAAAGAAAATGGTTTTGGACTGGAGAGGAGCAGTGAGCTGTTTATCCTCTGGAAGGCAAGCCATCTGATCTGTGTTGTGTTCTCGACCTCTCCTGATATCTAGCCGTCTTTTTCCTCCTCGTGAACGTGTAGTCGCAGAGCGGAAGAGGGTGAAGAAAATGAGCTGGGACTACGAAGCAGCGGGCAGCTTTCTTTGTTGCCCCCCGGAAGGCGAAGCCAGCGCTTTCCCATCTTTTGTTCTCGACCTCCGTAAACATGTCGTCGCTGAGCAGAAGAGTGCGAAGAAAATGAGCTTGGACTAGAGAGGTGCGTGTAGCCGGTTTTTTGCTCCCAAGCCAGCGCCTCCCAACTACTGTGTTCTGATCTCTCCCTCCTGGTGTGTAGCTGTCTTCTTCACCGAGAAGAGGGGGGTCGAAGACAAGGAGCTGGGACTAGAGAGCAGCGGGCAGCTGTTTTTTCTCCCAAGGCCAAGCCAGCGCTTCCCATCGATTGTTCTCCACCTCTCTGTGCTGGTGTCTAGCTGTCTTCTTCAGTCCCGAAAACATGTCATCGCCGCCGAGCAGAAGAGGCGGATAGCCATCATTTACCCAAGTGTGCAAACGAAGGAGCGGAGTGGAACAAATGAACGCTCGCTCACCGGCAGGACTCCCCCCAGCGCCGGAAACCAATCCTGATTCGGAGCTGGCCGTGTAGTCCGTTCCCCGGCTCGCCCAATCCTGCTCATGTGGACAAGATGGTCAAGAACCAGAGAAAGGAATGCGAAAGTCATTCGTCCATGCGACCGATGTTTGTGCAAATGCCAACTAGTTGTCTGCCTTTGATACACATCATACAGGTCGCGGTTTACACGTGGGGTTCTCTTCGACATTTCATCCAGCATTGGTTGGTTATGTGGATATGCTCCTCCACTTCACCTTAGCGAGCCGTTCTTCATATGACGACGTACGATCATGCACATCACTCCGACCACGTGGCGATGGCCGTTTTATAACCGGGGCACGCATTCAGATTACCTCGTCATCACTCCAGGCACTAGTGCCGAACCGCATCTTGCTGTTCTTGCGTCAGAATATATATGATGACTACCGCCGTAGTAAATGGCGCGTGCGTTGGCGTGAATATTCGGTCCTGGATCGAACACAAGCAAACGTCGTAGTCGCTGGCGGGCGAGGTTGGCTGGTGGCTACTGGATGTGTAGACGGCTGGCGAGCTTGGCTGGGTACCTTGTTCACCCGAATACAACGTAGGGGCATTATGGATGTGTATTTATAGACTGAAAGGTACCCCAAATTCGGCCAGCTATAAGGACCGTACGTTGTATAGGGGGGAAGACTGTAGTACGTTGGCTGTCCGGAAACGAGGAGGATAGACGGTTGGCGACAGTGTAGGTTGGTTGGCTGGGACCGAGGAGGGGGGGGAAAAAAATAAATGGCTGCCTACAGTCTTCCGCCGAACACAACGCACCCTGACTGATAACGAACGCGTATACAAGCTTTTGTCTTTCCGCCCGGGTGCAGCATAATTGGAGGGTGCGTTGTGATCGGGGGACGAAGACGCTTGGTTGGCTGGCTGGAGTCGACGGTAAACATAAACATTTCTTTCCTGAATGCAATGAAGGTTAATTGAGTTCGTTTGCTGCGATCGGATCTTGCTGTCGAGAGGTTCCACAGCTGGCACACAACACAGCCCCGCCGATAGGTAATCCTGTTGTCCACCGGAGATGTTATTTATTTATTATTATTATTTTTATTTAACAACTGCAGATGTTACTGCATGCACTACGAGCATATTCTTTTTTCGTTTTTTTTAAATGGAAAAATGTCATCCTTGCGCAGGGGCCATGCTAATCTTCTCTGGATCGTTCCAATTTTAACAGATGTCAGCGACGGTTAAGATGAGAGATGTTGGGCATTCGCGGCAGCACAGCCCACGTGATGACTGGTACTCTCTCCCATGAACTATCGACAAACAGACCTTGGTTCGAATAATGATATGGAATCGGATGTTAACAAAATGACCTATACCTTTCTCGGCCTTTTTGCTAGCATCTGTTCTGATCATCTGTTTAATATCTGATCCGTGGTCCATCGGACCACGTTTTAAAAAAGGAAAGGAAAAAAAAAGAAAAAGACCTTGAATTACCTAGGGCCCCGTGTAGCTTTGGAACAGACTACGGTAGGCCCCTTGTATTTTTGTAACCGAGGTGGTTTCGTAACCGAGGTGGGAAAGGGCGCGCGCGAGATGCGGAACCGTGCTGAGGTTATGCCCTCACACTGAGTTCACCCTTTCCCCTGAGTTGACCCTTCACCGTTTGCAATGAGCCACTGCTATCCTGCGGGGAGAGTTTTTTTTTCTCCTTGGAGGGCTCTAAGATGGACAGGGAGAGCCTCCCTCGAGAAGAAAGGTGGTGGCAGGCCCCTGGCCGCTGGCTGGCCAGAATGACCCAGGGAGGCTTGGGGTGCCGGGCAGAATGGGGAAGGCAGGCTGGTTGATGACCTTGTCTGTACACTCAACCAGTGTGTACGTCATCTGGGCCCTTATCCCCCGGCGGAAGCCCAGCCCCAATTGCAGCTCAGCGCAACTTGATATTCCTGCCGACCCTGCCAGCCCCAATGCCACAATTTTTGCAGCCAAGCGCCAAGTCCAGCCCTCAGCGCAATTCGATGTTTCTGCGGACGCCAGTCAGTTTGGACAAGTGGGGCCAAGTCCCAATGATTTAACACACGGCAGAATGAACTACCGTCTTCACCTGAACATAATGCCCCATCATTATAGCCGCTGTGTTCGGCGGATTTTCGGTCCAGATGCAGCGATAATGGGCCTCGCTGCACTACTCGTGAAATGAACTTTTTCAAGACCGCTGCACTTTTGGAAAAGGCGGCAGTTTCACGTGTCAAGGGCTGTGAGATGCAACTCTTGCAAGAGACAAGAGTTGTCGTCGGTGCATTACTCATGACGCGTCGCTCTTGAGAAAGCATTTCACGAGCTGTCAGGTAGTTTTCAGGCGAAGTCGACTAGAGTGCTCTTGGTCGCCTGCCTGCAACGCCTGTTTTTCCAAGGGAGGTCGAACCGTTTCTTGAAATGGGGCCGGATTCCAAGAGCGAGCCGGGTCTGGGCGGACAACACACCGCCGTTGCTGTCGTTTAGTGCTTCTAGAGCACTCGTGAATGCCTTCTGTTCACACAAGCGTGCGTTGTCCCACCGTGGTGGGACTGTGTTTTTTTTTTACCTCGCATGTACACTTCCTGCTTTCCGGGTGTGGGGACGACACTGGGTGCGGAGTGTGCCCAGTTGCGGAGGGGCGGAGGAGGCTGCAGAACGGGCCTGTACAAATCCGGTTTTTCGGGCCAGGGGGGAGGGAAGGTGGGGGCTGGATGCGGGGAAGCGCCGTCCTCCACAGTGCGTGCCCAGTTGCGGAGGGGCGGAAGGAGGCTGCAGAACGGGCTTGTACAAATCCGCTATTTCGGGCCAGGGGGGAGGGAAGGGGAGGCGCGGGGGGGGGTGAGGGAGGCGGGGGCTGGATGTGTGGAAGCGCCGTCCTCCACTGTGCGTGGCCGCCTCTCATGGCAGTGGGGAAGTGCGCGGGCAATTTTGACGGCGACCCGTTGAAGATCGTGGATGCACTTCCGTCCAAGGTAGACGGCTATGGCGTGCACCACCAGCAGTTCAGCGGGTCATCTTCCGGCGTGGCAACTCGTGTGTTGGCGCCATTGAAGCGCCCCTTGTCCGTGGCGAAGATGGCGTGCGGTGTTGAAATGAGCCCGTGCACGTGAGATCCATACCAGTGTGAGATCGTGGTGAGTTCAGAGCAGGTGCGGTGGTGGAAAACAGGTGGGGAGGAAAGCGTGGGGGAAGACAGTCGATTAGATGTGCAGGTCAATTAGATGTGCAGTACGGGCGTCGCTCCGGTACTCTCGCCATGCGCAAAAGACAACAAACGTGGCGGTGTATCTTTCCGTTTTGTAGCGGAAGATTCACTCTCGTTTTGCACATTTCGAGAGTGGTGGAGCGAGGACCTTCACCCGCCGAATTCAGCGAGGTGGATTGAACAACAAACGTGGCGGTGTATCTTTCCGTTTTGTRGCGGAAGATTCACTCTCGTTTTGCACATTTCGAGAGTGGTGGAGKGAGGACCTTCACCCGCCGAATTCAGCGAGGTGGATTGAACAACCAACGTGGCGGTGTATCTTTCCGTTTTGTGGTGGAAGATTCACTCTCGTTTTGCACATTCTGAGAGTGGTGGAGCGAGGACCTTCACCCGCCGATTTGATCGAGGTGGATTGATCTGCAAACGTGCCGCTGTATCGTTCCGTTTTGTGGTGGAGGATTCACTCTCGTTTTGCACATTTCGAGAGTGGTGGAGCGAGGACATTCACCCGTCGATTGATCTGCAAACGCTGGATGAGGTTCCAGGGAGCTGTGTCGCTGTTTGATCGACGCATGGGCGGCGGTGGGCCGGGCTGGGTGGCCATGGATAAGAAGTTGGCGACGGGAGGGTTCACCACACTGCGTGCCGTTTGGATTCGGCAGTCGATGCTCGCATTCGGATCGGGAGTCGCCATTTTGCCATCGTCTCGCCATGCGCCCGATCTCGTGCTGGTGGCTTACATCGGCCTGGCACTTTGGCTGGCCTTGCGGGTCGTGTACGCTGTGTTGCATCGTCTTCTGCGCTCTGCCTTGCGGCTGTCAGGCGTTCTTCTTCAGCACGGTACGAAGGCGATGGACGTCCGCATGCGTGGCGCAGGACAGCGGGACGGGCGCCGGGGCGCAACGCCATGCCACATATGCAAGACCTCAACAACAGCCCGTTTGTGCCAATGACACCGGGGCTCAGTACGGGAACGTCCATGGACGGCGCTGTCGGGCTTCCTCCACGTCGGATGTTCCAACCGCTGCCGGAGAACGTCCGACGCAATGGCCCTGCTCCATGGTGGAGACCAGCTTCGGACATGGGCGCAGGCATTCCTCCACACCTTCAACCACTTCCAGACGACATGCCAGTGCCGGGCCAGCGCAACGGAGCAGGCATCCCTCCACACCTTCAGCCCCTTCCGGATGACATGCCAGACGGGGCAGCACAACGGGTTGCAGTACAGCTCGAGCATTCTCACTGGCACGACAGTGCCTTACATGTCGTGCCTTACATGACAGGAGTTCAGTCGCTGGAGGATGTGGACGAAGACACCACGGTTGGCCAGTCCGGGACACACATTGCTCCTTCTGGGAGCCAGCATCACCTGTCTGCTGACTGGCCCGCGTGGACAGCGGCCGCATCTCATGCTGCAGCAACACAGTATATCCAGTCTTCTGTGGGAGGCGATCCGGGACTGCGAGAGACCCAGTCCGGCTATGGCCATGGCATTCCACATGGTCACGGCGAGCGGGAGGCGCTGCTGGACAGCCGGCCGCCGAATGGAGGTGGGTATGGCTCGGACCAGGCTGGCGGGGTGAGATACTCGATGTCTGCAGGGGACACCGTCCGCGACGCCTCAGATGGGTATGGGCTCTCGTCTCAACAGTCGTCTTCCACCGTTGATACGGGCGCACGGTACGGCAGCCATGGTGGATGGACATATCACGACAGCGGGGCAGGTGGAATGCACACCCCGCTCGGAGAGGTTGATTTGCCGGGTTCGTCTATCCCGCAACGGCCAAGGTCCGAGCAGCGAGACGCTAGTGGAAAAGCTTCCACACCCGCGAAGGAACAGCGTGCAAAGGTCGGCAAGGGCAGTGGAGCTCGAACACCATCCAAGGCCCCGAATCCGAAACGGCCGGCTGCAAATTCGCTGTCGTCTGCTGTCATGGCGGAAGGGGATGGCGAATCTGACGATGACAATTCAGAGGAAGAAGACATTGATCAGCCTCCTCTCCCGGGGAAAGGGAAGCGCCGCAAGCGGAGCTCCAAGGTGGACAACTTCACAGAGGAGGAATGCATTGCCCTTGTGCACATCAAGGCTGAGTATGACATCGAGATGGAGCGATCGCTGGTAGGGGCGAGCGGGAAGATGAAATCAAAGGAAGCAAAGTGGGGGGATATTCTGGAGCGGCTGCGGGCGAAGGGAATTATCAAGAAGTTGGAGGACGTGAAACGCAAGTGGGAGAATTTGAAGTCTGCATACAACCGTGTGTCCTTCCACGCATGTGTCTGGATCCAAGAACTTCTTCGAGATGTCGACGAAAGAACGGATAGAGAAGAAGGTGCACGTGTTTATCAGGGAAGCAGTATACAAGGTCATGGACCAATACTGGCACGACGATCCTTCAGCGGTGTCTACGAATCTGATGGATTCAGGGAACCCGATTGAAGACGACCTCCGTGGTGTAGGTTCAGGCAGTCCTGGCGATGATGGCGGTGGAGCGCAATCTGTAGCCTCGGCGGCACGAGCGGGTGCTGCAAGAAGAAGAACCAATGCACGTGCAGGAGCGATGGCGGAGGTGAGGGACATGATCGGCGACCACGGCAACCAGCAGGCCGAAGCTATCCGCGAAGCAACACGCGAGGCAGCGAGATTGCAGTCTGCCGATCGTGCACGGGCAAACAGCGAGTTCCGCGATATCATGACGAGCGTGACTGATGTGCTCAAGGCTAACAATAGCAATCTTTGCAGCACCATCGTCACGCTCACTGCGACACTCCAGCAAGGTCCACAACCGTCTGCGCAGTAGGGAGCGGAATCAAGGATCACCTGTGTGAGGGATTCGTGATTCGCGCAGCATTGGTGATTGCATATTCGCATCACATTTTTTCTGTTCAATCGTATTCATCAAACTGCAGGAAATTATTTTTTTCTACTGTATGGCACGAATAATGTACTGCTCTCTTGAGCATCACAGATGCTAGATTCGAGCAACAGGTTTGGTCGACCGATTATCCAACCCTTTTTATTTAGAAGTCGCTGCTCGTTGCTCGACATTGGCGCAGATTTTTAATATTCATATAATGACTATAATTCTTATGATGATGATTGTCACTTCATTCTAATTCTATTTTTTTTTTCAATATGGTTCTGATGTGTTGCTTGACCGAACCGCACTGAATCTCTCTCTCTCTCTCTCTCTCTCTCTCTCTCTCCAGAGTGGAAAAACTTCATTGATGTGTTGCTGACCGAACCGCATTGAACCGCATTGATGTGTTGCTTGACCGAACGGCATTATGATTGTCACTTCATTCTAAATCTTTTTTTGGGCCAACTTCTGCAGAGTGGTAAAAGCGAGTTATAATTGCAGTACGGGCCAAGATGGAGTTCGCACTTGCAGTACAGCCACCCCTCGTGGCCAGGAAGCCGGGTCGTAACACGTGGCCTGAACTGCAAGTGCAAACTGTGTCTTGCCCCGTACGTGAATTGTAATATATATATGGTCAAATAGAACTGCCCGGTAAACCGTAGGCAGAGAGGTATATATATATATATATATATATATATATATATATATATATATATATGAGTCGGTGAAACTCTGACGAAACAGTTTGTCACAGCCCCTCGTTTGTTGTCCTCTTCTCCCTCTCTGCCTACGGTTTACCGGGCAGTTATAACT